CTCGATGATTCAATAGTGCTGGCCAATTAAAGAATCCCTCAAAGTTTTCTACCCATTTGTTCCTCTGTTCTTGAATCTCAGTGATTGACTTGTCTTCTTTGTCCTTGACCACCCCCTCTGGTTTACTATATTTCTCTGCCAGTTTCCCAATTGTGTTAATTAGTTGTTTCATATTTACTTCTCTTGCAGCTTTTTCCACTGTCGTTGATAGGTCTTCCACGTAGTTCTGCTTGTCGGCTCTAATGCTCCTCTTCAGTCGGTTGTATGCTTCTCAGTATTCAGCTTGTGCCTCGACTTCCTCTGCTCGTGTTCAGCTGTAATTAAATGTTGTCTTCTAGTTCTTCCTTCCATGAATCTTTTCCTGGGTTTCAATAGCGATCCATTCTTTACTATGATGCTTCTTGCGGCTCAGAACCTCCTAACACGTTGAAGATAGTGTTATGACTTGTGGCCAGTTGATATATCACGTGCTCGGTTCTCCAATCAGAATACGACTTATACAATCTACAAACTGTGCCACAACAATGACGTACTGACCGGTATGAGCAGCTTAGCGTCCTTATTGGTCCTTTTTCTTCCTAGCTATGCCTTTCGTGTCCAGAGCACCAACATCACTTCCCACTATATGAATCATTTATTTCAGACATACTTGGTTTATATACAAGCAAACCAAACCACATCATACCATAGAATAAAAATAAAAATTGTACAGGATCAAGCCAAAATGTGGCAGTGATTGTGAGTGACTGTTACTAATCAATAGAGAATATCTTAAGGGTAGTAAATCATGTGATTATAGTCAATAGGTCAAATAAAAGCTTATGATAAAAGGAATATGGATGTATACAATCTAGTCACTTAACAGTTGAACAATAAGAATATATGTATAATAACAGTTCATAAATAATTCTTGATGGTTACCATTCATTTATTCTTCATCCGGATATAATGATTATTGCTTCTTTGATCCTGTAGTTCTCCATAGTAGTTTCCTCCTCGCTGAGTAAATTTTGTCAGGTTTGGAACCTGTTGTTGAGGGCTATTTTGAGTCCGTTGAGTTTGTCAGTATCTTCAAGAAAGGCTGTATTGAACCTTTAGTAGTGCCGTTTCCCCAGTTGTCCAGTGCTTCTTTAGCTTCAGTTCCATAATGATAACCATCAACTAGTGGTGATCTAAAGGTGTGTCGGCTCACCTCATGGTTCTTACGTCTTCCGTTGATTGATCTTTTTAATATTTTCTGATGTAATTTGACCGATCTGATTCTGTGTAGTGTGATCCGGTGAGACCCATGTAGCTTTGTGTATGCGTTTATGTGGGAATATAGTGATGCTCACAACTACTTTATTTAATGCACATAAATTCTAAAATCTATTGCCGTTCTCGTTCCTTTCTCCCAGTCAGTCCATGTCGTCCCATGACATCTTCATACCCGTTGTTATCTACTCCGACATCACAGTTTAGAATTACCATAAGGATCGTCAGGTTCTCCTCGGGACACTTCGCTATGATCTATTGTATTCTGTCGTTAAACTGATTTTCATCGTCTTCATTACCAGAATTATTGGGTCCATAGTACTGATTAACATTCATTATAATCCCCACTCTTATCTTGAATGATGCTTTAATGATTTTAAATTCATGAGATTCCCATCCTATAAGTGCTGTAAGTGCTTGTTTGGACAGCATAGGAGTAACTCCTAAAGTGTGTGGAGTATTTCGTAACCAGAGTACAACAGCATATCTCCCGTACTAAACTTTGCTATTCAGCTTAAGTCCAATGGGTTTCGCTGATTTCGAGAACCACCAAATTGTATCTCCTCATTTCTGTTGCTATTTGACTGGTCTTTCCGGACTCCCACATTGTTGAGACATTCCATGTACCTATAAAAGTTATTGCTCTCGTTGTTAGAAGAAGCATCGGCTTCATGACTTTCGAAGAATGTGAGCTTCCATCATAATGTGTCATAATTCTTCCTTGAATTCCGAAGGCAGAGTTTAAATTATTTAGTTTGTTTAACCTGGCAGGCTTTTTTTAGTAATTTTTTTACGGGATAGGGTTGCCGATTTCACGCCATACCATCCCACTTTACCAGGGCTTGGGATCGGCAGTATCCCTAGAAGAGATAAACTGAACACTTCAAGTATGTATCCACGATCATAGAAAACTTGTGATCTTACAGCCGAAACTATTTCCTTGGTTCTTTTATCAACTCACGTCTTTTTCAAACTGAAACCGGTGTTTATAAATGTCTATTATCTCACCTTTTGAATTCATTATTCTGTTTACATGAAATATCTCTAATAGTTTTTTGCAAATAATACTCGAATGCATCACATTAGATAATGAAGATTTGATTTATGTAAGCGAACTATTATTATGATCATGATTGGTAAAGAAAACGTTGTATACATCATTGAGTTCATTAAGAATATGGATTTACTATTCTCTCTAGACAATTTATTTCTCTTTTCTTTTTGATTATAAATGTATCATTATAAACTTAATTTATAAATAAACAAAAGCAATGAGATCTCATCTTATTAAATCGATTGAGGAAAGAATGAATTTTTTAGTTTAATCTTTCTATATAATAAAGTTTGTTTTTTTCCTCCTCAAATGACCTTACATTGAACTCTAGTTTGTCAACTACACTATCTACATAGAACTTTATTGTTTAAAAGAAAGATTTCATTGTAAGTAAATAACGATTGGAATAATCATGTTTGTCAATATCGATAAAAAGGAGGACAAGTCCACTGAAAAAAGGTGAATTTTTGAAATGTAGGCAAAATTGTTATAATCTCTTAGTTTAAACGTGACTAAAAGAACTGATTAACTATAGTAAAATAAAAGCTAAAATCAATATTACACGGAAGATACTTTACAACTTATCTGTAATCCTTAGAGTCACTACATATTTTAAAGGAAACTATAAAAAGTTACAGAGAGAAGGATTTTTTTAAAACTAAACGCAGTTTCATCATGTCTTTTTTTCATTTTTCTAATCGAATCTTCAAAAAAATACTGATTTTTAATGATCTTAGATTTTAAGTTTTTCTACAGGCTGAGTTGAAAAAAACACAGCGAATGCACGAATGAACAGACCTCAGATAGGAAATTTATACGAAGCGTACAACAGATATGGTGTTTTTTTATTTGTATCTTCTCATTGTTACTTAGGATTGCAAATTGATCAGCCACTTGATGGCATATGTGTATATTGTGCGAATTGCCTCAATAAAGTCACAAGATTTTTCAGCAAAGATGGATAAAGGATAACAGTGGAATTCAGGACACGCGTTTCATTCTGTTTGGGACTAGTCAACTGGATGTAACTGCATAACAAACTTGATGTTCAATCCATTATTCGAATCCAGTACAGTTCAGTTCAAACGCCATCGCGTTATCCACTTATCTACTGAGTCCTTATAGCCACTTGCTTGTGAAATGATGTGAAGTTTAAATTCACTTGGTGTTATTTTACTTGTATCTTCCCATTGTTATTTAGGACTCAGTAGCTAAGTGGATAACGCGATGGCGTTTGAAGTGAACGTTACCAAGTTCGAATAATGGAGTGAAAATCAACTCCGGAATTAAGGTACTTTCGGCTGACGAGTTCTATGTAGAACGAAACGCGCGTCCTGGATTCCACTGTCGGCCATTATCCATCTTTTCCAACAGATACGGTTTTGTCAAACATTGCTTAAATTTAATCTAAGACATGATTAAAGAATTCAGTTGTACCTAATAAATAAATTTAAAAGTATACAAAATAATAGACTGAAATTAGAAATTACATTATTTATTCAAAGAATCTCATTACGGCTTTGATCAAAGCACCAATATGATTTCCTAACATACTTGTTTCCTTGAATATATAATTAGTTATTTCATTCAAGCATAATTAAATATTGTGTGATTTTACCGAGATTTAAAATGGATAACTTAGTTTCCAATGTCTCTTTATTTATACATCTTAAACTAAACTTAATACATAAGGTTCAGTTATTAACTTTGAACATAGAACAAAACTTTTTAATATTTAATAAGAGCACGGTAAGACAATAACAAATGGTAGTAATAAGCATACCAGAAGTAAACAACCAAACAATAATCTCAAATGTTTTTCATGATGACAAAATAAATACGCCAAGAATAAGACTCATTATTTTTGGACTATTAGTTAGCAGGTGTATTTCAGTTCATGTTTATATCATAAAATACTGGTGGTTGGTAAATGATTTTGCAAAGCAATTTTGTAATTCATTTTGTATTGTTTGTTTGTATCTTTCCATTGATGTTTAGGGCTGCAATTGATCGAGTCCTAGAGTGAAAATTAACTCTGAGATGCATGTATATCCAACTGACGAGTCCCAAATAGGACGAAAAGAGCGTCCTAGACTCCACTGCTAGCCACCATCTATCTTTGCTTATAAAATTTTTTGATGATATATATTATAATGACTAAAATTAGGGAATAATGAGTATATGTAATCAATCCATACATTTTTACGATTAATAGTCATATGAAACATAATTACTGGTATATTTTTCAAATTTCACAAAGTAGAAATGCATGAAATCCAGTATAACCTTGCACGTCAGCTACGTAGTAATCAATAGTTAAAAATATATCTCAACCCCACATAAAATCAGGTTATTTAACTGTAACAATAACAGTAAAACTTTATTCCCCCACTAAATATGAATTAATAAACTTGTTATAAATCCAAGTACCCTAAATAATTTTTTTCGCCCCTCCTTGTTTTGTATCACTCCTGATTGATTTCCGTTTTCACTCTCATTGATTTATAAATGATAGTTGTGTCTGATTAAATGATGCTAATTACACAATAAATGGAGTAACACGCCAAACTTTTAACAGTTAATCGCACTTTAAATATAGTTTTCTTAGTACTGTTACTATGAAAAATATTCTAATTGGATGTTTATCGTTGAAAATTATAACAGTTTTTCTATGCATTAAAATAATTTATAGGTGCTTCACACAGCCCACAATATGACATTTTTCATGCTGGTGGCTATGCATCACCCGCTGTTGATGCATTATGCACTACAAGTGATGTATCCAAATTGGAAAGTGAATTTCGTAATCAAGCAGGTGAGAATATATTAACTGTTATACGTACAAGAGGAATTGATTCTATGGCTCCACCTGAACAAAGGTATGAGATCCCAATTATTTAGTCTTTTTAGCTTTTAAAAATAAAAAAAATTCATTATTGTTGTGAATTTCTAATGTTCCTCGATTTTTAAGGAAAACGAAACCATCTTCAATGTACATGAAGAAGATTTAAATGATACTACTTTTTTACGTAAACTAATTCAGACTGAGTATTTCATTTTTAATTTGACCTTTGATTGTTGATCATTTCAGTATAAGATATTTAGGTGTTCCAACTGTGATATTTTAGTAAACTTTTTAGCACATGATTTCCAAAAGTTAAATGAATATAGTGTTATCGAAATATGGCAGTAACTGAAATCTTGATATACTTCCCCACATCACTCACTTCTTGTGAAAATGGAAGAAGGTGATGCGCTAAAGGATACTTAGTTGTTGTGATAAGCAGTTTCTAAGTACACTTTCTTTTCGACCTTAAATTTATGAATTTTAAAACAAAACAATAAAATTTATTACATTTTAATTAAAACATGGGAGTTTAATCCACATGAAGTTCTGTAATCTTTAGAACAAAATGAATTAATTTCATAAAGTTTGCAATGTAACTAATAGGCCAATTAACCTGCCGTTATAATTTACTAATTCCTGTGTTTCAGAAAGCACTTAATCAAGATTTGTTTTCTGAAATTCATTGTCACAGGATATCTACAATATCGAGGCTTGTTTGTCCTCCGAAGTACTAAATGTTTGTCATCTCACTAAATGACAAGTATGCAATGAATAATTTCATGAAGCCAATTATCAGCGTATATATATTGTTAAATTTGTAGTTGAATGAAAGTGTGACGAGGGGCACTGAAAATACATATGAACCATCACCTTGATGTTTTGCGAACTAAGCAACAATAGCTAACAGGTAGTCAGGTTTCAGTCTTGTTTTATTCACTGAATGAAGGCTAGTCAGTCTTTTAAATACGACAAAAGTTTACTATTTTAAATTTTTTTATCATCGTGTACAACAATAACAGATAAATTGAACAGATTAATTACCTAACAATCGACTCCAGATATTATCTGATTCTTAGGCAAATAAAAGTTTCCGTTTTGCTTATAAAACGAAGATAAAACGCTCAATGTACGAGTAGGATTAAAACGTGGTTATAAGTTAGGTTTTATAGTTTAGTCAGTGTTGCTCAGTCCAGTCTTGTTATGAGTATTAGGAATTATAGGAAACAATTTGTCTAATTATGAATACATTCTTTGTCTTTCCACCTAGAAGCTGCTTTTTCGGGTAGTTTATTCGTTAGTCAGTAAATGTTATCGTAACTTATTACCTAACTTTTATATCTGAGTAGGTAGTCTATAAAATCTGTTTAAATGTTTAAAGTAGATGTGAAAAAATTAGAAATTACTTTTCTTCACATGTTTAAACTTTGTTTATATAATGAGAAAACACTTAACTATTTCAAATAATCTATCAAATTCCGAACAGATTTCGCTCTGCCCTGTTTGCAGTCAACAGTTCTCATCATCTGTTATCATTTTTATCACGTATAGTTCCAAGTCCCGATTGGTGTACAGGTTTATCAAGAGTTGATATATGTCTACAAAATTGTTCATGGCCCTTAAGAATGCAATTTCGTTTAGAACCATGGGATGCTGGCGTTATGACTGGTAATACATATATTCCCATTGAAAATTCTGAAAGATTAAGAGAACCAAAACCAATGTGTCCAATAACACCTGATTTACGACCAAATACTCCATTTACTGTTTTGACTGATTACGTATCTCTACCGAATTCGGATTCATTCAGTTTAACTAATCTACATACGAGTGGTTCAAATACATTTAGAAATCCTAATTTAGGTTTACCAATGTCAGATCAAATGAATCTATTAAATATTCCATCGACCAGTGGACGTATGCGCAGACAATTTGCACGACTTGGTACTGTTGAACTGGAGTTATTACGCATAAATGAGGTAACAGCTATTACTAATAATAAATACTATTTAACGAATAAAAATATAGTTAACTTGTATTTGAAACGTAATTTTTCCGGCTGAATAAATAAAAGACAAATTTCTAAGTAAATGAATTCAGCTTCTGTATTGAAAGTGACTATATTTGAAATGTGTTGCAAGATGTTAATAATAATGTCATTTATATATTGAGACAATCAACCGGAAGGTAATTTATCAAATGTTATTTTATTAAACAAACGGTGTATAAAATCTTATAAACAATGAGCTGTAACAATTATAAAAGAGACTAACTAAACGAGTTATATTGATTAATGATAGAAATGAATTTTAATTAAGTTGGAATATTATCAGTTGATTAACATATCAGATTTATTCAGTGATCAGTAAAGTATTTATAAAGAACTGACGTCTTCTTATCTTATATATTACATGTCAAAACATTGAATATAAACTGAAGTTACATTATATATGAAACTAGCGATAAACAAAAATGGATGGATTACTGACAAATCAGTTAGTTCAAAATTTAGACAGAAAACTTGATTTCCGAAAAAAATACCAGTGCTTTAAGAAACTTAACATTAGTTACTATTGGAAAGTCAGTCTTTTATATTCTAGTTTCGGTAATAAAAATGGATGTGAACATAGATGAATAACTTGTGACAGCAAGATATTTAGAAAAATCTCAATACAACTGAATATTCCAAAATAACAGTTAAAGTATAATTTATACAAATATTCGTCAAGACTAGAACGAATAGTTTGACAGAAATTGGGCGCCGAGTATAGAGAAGTCATTATATGTGAAAATTATATTTGAAATAATTTCAGCGATTGAAATTCGAAATAATTTCAACGTTTCGTTCAGCAAACTTATCTGAACTTCTTCAGGGTAAATAGTTAAAGTATGTTTAGTTTTTTATTAGATAGGGAGTAATTTTGTATCCGAAAATCTTATCAGTTAAAAGTTCCTTATCGATTTCCCACGCAGCTTATCAAGTTGATTATTCCAATCTTTTAAGTTAACATAACCAAATCAATACTAAAAGGAAGAGTTCATTATACCAAAACATTGAATTTTGAAAACTTGACATTTTTTACTACAGTTTCTTTCGAAACATCTCATGAAATGCTCTGTTCAATAGATGATTATACAATAGAGAGATTATTTCAAGTATTTTAAAACGTCAGATTAAACTGTTTATCTTCTTTTTTTTTAAAGAAAAACTTAGAACAATCCTGAGATTTAGAATAAATGTCATTCAACCACAGATTTATTTCAGAAATAATCTTCTCAACAACAAAAAGATTTTCTCAGTTTAAACAAAAATAACTGAGTTTGCCGTTTGGTAAAATTAAAATTGATCATAATAAACATTTTCAATAACATTAAGTTACTATATTTATTAACTCTAAAGTGGTTGAAAGAACCAACGAAATGATGAAAATATCATTGTGAGAAAGTCAGATTGACTAACTCTTTAACTGTGACCTACGTTAACAAACGTGCACAAATTCTAAATTCACTTGGTGTTATTTTACTTGTATATTCCCATTGTCATTTAGGATTGCGAATTGATCAGCCTCGTGTTGGCATATGTGCATACTGTGCGGATTGCCTCAATATAGCCTTAAGTCACAAGCGTTTTAAGCAAAGATGGATGGTGACTAGCAGTGGAATCCAGGACGTGTGTTTCATCTTTTTTGGGACTCGTCATGAGATTGGTCAATTGCAGTTCTTAATAACAATATGAAGATGCAAGTAAAATAACACCAAGTCGATTTAAACTTCACATCATTTCACAAGCAAGTGGCTATAAGGACTCAGTAGATAAATGGATAACGCGATGGCGTTTGATGTGAACGGTACTGGATTCGAATAATGGAATGAACATCAAGTTTGTTATCCAGTTACATCCAGTTGACTAGTCCCAAACAGAATGAAACGCGTGTCCTGAATTCCACTGTTATCCTCTATCCATCTTTGCTTGAAAATGCGCAAATTCTGTTACTGAATAAATTTGAAAAATTATAAAACATTTGATTAGGCAGCGAATCATCTTAATAATTAAATCCATTCAATCATTATCATCAATTCAACATACTCAAAATGATGGAATGTTTGTAAGTACTATTGTATCAGTTAGAATTGACTGCTTAACAAGAATTATTATTCTGTACCAAATCAATTTTTATCTAGAGTGTTTAAATAGGGTTTCTTACAAATGAACTAACTTAAAGTAAAAAGAACGGAATAATAGAAAAATGATCTGGAAACTATCGGCAAACATGTATCTTTTTATGGTGAGTTCGAGTAATTGGTATTATTAGAATATTTGATTAGGATTGTAAAGAAACTAAAATGTTGTTTAGTGTGTGAGAAATTCGTTTAATAAATAGATGAATGAATATACTTTCTTAAAAATATTACCAACATAATTCTCATTGGTTGTTTGAATCTTCCTATTGATGTTTAGGAATGAATATTAACTCTAGGATGCAGGTACATTCAGCTAACTAGCTCCAAATAGGATGAAACGCACGTCCTAGATTCCACTGCTAGCCAACATCATTTTCGCTTATTAACAACATGGTTGTATTAGTGTTAGGATACTATAAAAACTGATTTCCTCAAGTTTATTTCCCTTAAATGTTCATTTTATAACATATTTTTAGCATGAATCTTGTGCTACCGAAGTTCTTCAAGAAGATCAAGCTATGTCAAAAGCATCAAGTTTTCCCCGTCGTGATTCTTATGGAGGGTCTTTTGATACGAGAAGTGGTACAACAGAGAGTGATGCGAAAAGAACACCAACTGACTTATTGGGGGCTCGATGTCATTTAAGTGAATGGTCCCCATGGAGTCCATGCACTCAGGTCGATTTAGATACTTGTTCCACTAATGAGGCTAAATCATTCTGGACCAATACACCACCTCGCATGTGGCGAACGAGACATAGTATAACCCAATCAAAAAATGAAGACTGTTTAGCTGCCAAATTAAAGGTAAATATTCGTGAAATAGGTCATATGCATAAATATGAGTATGATATTATTAGTTTTAGCTGAAGAAGGTAACTTATATGTCATTTAAAATTAAAAAAACGATGAGTGTGACATTCTACTAAAATCTTGATGATATATTCTCATTATCTAAATCAGGAATTAATGTTGACGTTTTTCTGAATCTTTTATTTATCAACGGGAAAGGAATGATTAAATTAGAGTATTACTTGATTGGGTCATTTCAGTCCATGAATGATGAGTTTGGAAATCTATGATGTCCTGTTGTTTTCGTGATATATTTATCTACTATGTTGTAAACAGAATATATATTTGTACATGTGTCTTACAAATGTGTATAGTACATTATCCTCCTACAATAATTGTTCAGAAAAACTCCAAAATTTTAGGTTACAAATAAAGCTTTTTGATTAATGACCTCATAAATTTCTATGGACAATCTAATTAAACATCGCATACATTTTTTATTCATAGATCAATTTTATTGATAAGGTCATACACATCTGTTAAAGTATTCATAGGAGATCTTTTGGTCCATAGTGGCATCTGTAAAACATAACCCTTACAAGCAACGAAAATAACAAAGGAATAGTAATTGATCATTTGACACAATTAACCTACTTACCCTTGATTGTGCCATCGCATTAGATCCATATTCACGTTACTGTGACTTTTTTTAACCTATGATATTATAAAACAGGAAACATGACAGAAAATGGAACTGCACCAAAATGAAATAACTTGTTGACTACTTTTGTATTTCTAAGGTAAATTAAGTGAAGAAATGTTGTGACATTTTCAAAGCCATGTCAAACCATCTTCTAAAATTAATTTCACTATATACTAATTATGATAATTGGCTTTTACTCAAAGTTCATTACAATTTCCTGAGTAACAACAATATCACAATGCTTTGCCCTTCTTCATAACAGTCTGTTCTTGAGAGTTTTTTGTTTGTATATTTCAGTAGAATATCTATGGTGATGGACCAATCAGTAACGTCAGTAGCTATCCATTTTCAAGTTATCTTTTTATTCAGTAGCAAAAGTTACATCATATTTTAGTCCCAACTTTAATATCTACTTAAAAAATTAAATCTCAACGCATAAACAATAATCTTCACTCTTTACATATAAAAGCGGTTCAGAAAAATTTGACTGTGTCTTAGAATATGAAATAAACTTTAACTTCTCAACAAATAAATGTAAAACTGATGGTTTAAATGAAACAAATTCATCGATTCATCGATGTTGAAAACATGAAATTTCGATGCAGTCAACTGAATTGGGCAACAATCTGTTATGTTCTCATTTTATGAATAGATTTATTGCATACATTTATTTTATGACTGTTTTTACAAAGACTCAAGATAGTTCCACTTGTTAAGCTGTGTATAAATATACTCAGCAAGATTTATGACATAATTATTTAGTTTACTACTTTGTCAAAAAATCGCATAAACCTGTCAAAATGACTTTTACAATGAAACGACACTTCAGTGATTTTTTTTAAATGTCGAAAAGTCAACTCTTTCCTGACTTCTCACATAGGTGAATATTTCCTAAAAAAAAACGTTTTTTATATGATTTCCAGGAAGAAAAAGCTTGTGAAACGCCTACAGCTAAACAAACCTGTGGACCAATTCCAATTAGTACACCTCATACAAGAATGAATTTTATGGATACCTGCAACAAATTACCTTGGGGTCCATGGACTACATGTATTAACGCAACATGTACGCGTCCAGGAATGATTTATCGTTGGAGGCGGTTTCCTGATCAAGCATCTAAAGTAACATGTGCAAGGCATCCACTAGCAAACCAAGTTGATACTTGTTGGCCACCATCTAATTTCCAATGTTCTTTGACGGAATTACAAACAGCATGTCTTGAAGAACCACCTACTCCACAAAGATTATGTGTTAGACCAATGAACACGACTAAACGGTTGGTTTGCTATAATACTCAATATTTTTACATTTTTCCTTTCACTTCTTCACAACTAAATTTAGTTAAATTCCATTTTTATAACTAGGTAAAATATACAAACTATTCTTTTGAATATTGTTTTTTGTCAATTTGTCAATTCTTCAGAAATTTATGCTCAAAAACTATTCTTATTTTGACAGGAATATGATATTTGACATTCACATTTTTAAGGTTCAATATTACCATTCTCATCACGTTCACTATAACAAACAATCAGTTCGTAATCTGTTCACGTTGTTAACTTGTATTTTTTTCAAATGTTTTATATAATGAAGTACATCATAGGTTGGTTGACATTAAACATAACGTTTTTTGGGACGTCATATCTTACCTTAGATAATAGTTTGTTGTATTATTACAAGCAAACTTTAAATAATAATGACCATGGACAATTCAAATTTAAATAGAATGTTTCCTCAAATTCAATTTGGTTTATTCTATTTATTAGTTATATAAACAGAGTAGATTCATTATCATAGTATAATCAAACAATTTAGTTACAAAACTAAAAAATAGACAGAAAAATAGAAGAAATGAAATAAAACAACAGTCATAGTTGGCATTATTTTAATCTACGTTAGCGATACTACCCCTAACTCAGGGTCTGAAAAGTCGGAAAAATGAAAACTTCACAAATGCGATAAAAATGATCTTGGTGGTCTAGTTATAGTATTCCGACACCAGAAAATGGGTTTTAAGCGTTATTTAAGTTCTAACGCTTCATGCTGGGCTACATATGTGTTGTATGCAGTCTAAGCTATATGGCTATGTAAAGCTGAAGGTCTCATATGAGGCTGGAGGTTCGCCATTGGTATTGTGGATGGTACGGCATTGCTTTGGCAAGTTCAACTGACTGTTCATGCCCAAAATTGATTCGCTGGTTAACCGATTTCATTCATATTGGTGGTTGCTTTTCAGTGTTCCCGAGGGCCATTGTCATTGGGACATTTTAAGGCACGTCGCCATTGCTAACATGGATGAATTCGGCTGTCATGTAAGCGGAATTGGTCAACTTTGACCTGTTCATGCTGTGCACAATTGATTCACGCGATCATTGATCGGAATAACTATACATGTGACGTGAATGTGTATATGATTGGTGCGAATGGTCCACTAGGGTGCTTGGTATCTGTGTGGTTACGCCACAGGATTGAGCTGTACTATTGAGATTGTAGCGTTAAAGCCTATACGGTGTCTGCTTCTCCTGTGAATCGGGATTGAGCTATACTGCTCGGGTTATAAAATTTAAGCCTGGACGGTATCTGGCTGTCCTGTTAAACGGGATCTAGCTGTACTGTTTGGGTTGTCACGTGAAAGTCTGAATGATGTCTGGTTCTCCTGAAGACCAATGTAAAACTACCCTGGACCACAAGGGTATATTATATAACTATGACCATAGACAATTCAAATTTAAAAAGTATGTTTCCTCAAATCCAATTTGGTTTATTCTATTTATTAGTTATATAAACAGAGTAGATTCATTATCATAGTATAATCAAACAATTTAGTTACAAAACTAAAAAATAGACAGAAAAATAGAAGAAATGAAATAAAACAACAGTCATAGTTAGCATTATTCTAACCTACTTTAAAACACTGAACTTTACATTTGATCAATTAAATAAACAAAATTTAAGTATACACACTTTCAAATAGTTTGCCTCATTGATTCTGACATTATAAAACTCAAATCTAATCACAATTGGTTTTAATTACAATTTTGAAAGTTTTCTAGTAATCCAAATAAACGAAAAATTGGGATTTAAAATGTAACTGTCAAAAGGGACTAACCTATTGGAAATGATTGGAAAATAGATATGACAAAATTAATGTTTTTTTTCTATTTTATTAAATTGTAAAATTTTATAATTATAAACCATAAAACCCTAATGCTTAACTTAATCATGTATAGTACTTTTATAATGTATGTACTACATTTTGATCATTTAAGAAATATCTACTATTTTCCATAATACTGAATGTTTATGTACTATAAGCAGTTTACAGAAATAAATAAATACATTTGTGGTGTATACTGCTTATGCCGACAGAAATGAGTAGTATGTAGCCACAATCGGAAATAGAATACTTTACAGCAGAAGATTGGAATAAAAAGAAAATTAAGTAAATCATGTAGTGATCAAGATAACAATAAAATTAGAGGAATAATAGTGTATGTAAAAGATAACTCAAAAAAGATGTGCAAATGATATATTCAATGTATTTTACAAAAGCACTGTGTAATTTTGATTTTCCACACTAAATCTCATTATTACATATTCACTTTCTGCTTACATCAGTTGAAATAATAAGGAAAAGATGTAATGGCTGAATGCATTTCATTAACTTATAAATTATATCAAACGCTTTTAATTAAAAGAACTGTCATCTTTGTTTGTGTTCTTCACATTTCTTTTCTCACAATGGTAGTTAGTATTTATTACGTTTTCGTTATCTAAGTAAAATAATGACAAGTGTATAATTCCTTCCACTCACAATATTCAGTCAAAAACACTGAGAATTCCGTTTCTCTGAATATATGGATTTTGTCTTGATTCAAGACAACTTTAAGGTGTATATCATCGAGATCTCTATAGATCAAAACTAATAAAACGTAAAACTAATCAGGTATACGATACTTTCAAGTCGCTAGATCATATTGTATCGACTAATATTTTGTAAGCCATCATCAAGCTACAATATGAAACAATTTTTGATAAATATTCCCGAATTGAAATCTCTCACCATTCTGAAGTTTATTAATCTTTCACCTCATGGTTTTCTCATAGCGATATATAATGATGAGTCAACTATTATTAAAAATTTTACCAACTCCTCAGTAAATCATATTGAACTAATCATGAAGTATGAATAACACTGTAAAAGTACATTAGTCCCCTCAATTATATGTTGAATGAATGGGAAGTTAAATTGTTCGAAATTAGAAATAAACAGCTGTTTGTTATGTTTAATTTTTTTCAAGTAAAATTAGCATACAGTGTAAATAATTTTCTTTAGAACGTTTAGTAACATTAAAGCGTATATATATATATATATATATATATATATATATATATATATATAAACCCAAAAGATGGACTGTAAGTCCTAAATACATGCCAAAAACACCGTGATGGTAAATTCAAGTTTATCCGTTTATTTCTCCAAAATGCCACTACACAACAATAGGATTTCGTGTGTGAGATAATATGAAATATCGATTGATAATAAATCCGAATTTCTCCCTACTGCTGGTTACGTGATCTCATAATTTATGGAATTTCCGAAGATGCATTATGATTATAAGTAAAAGATGGCAAAAAAAAAGAAATTTGGGAAAAACACGATAATCGTCCCAACAAAGCCTTAATATCATTGTGGTGGGGTAGGTTAGAACTTTCTAATAGTTAACTACTTTTATCTAAATGTCAATTGGTTAACCAATTCACAGTAGCACGAAAACTCAATTTTCAAGGACAATAACGAACAAAAATATCATGATATTTAGTACATATTTACAAATACTGATAATTATCAATAAGATCCACTTACGATAAGTTTATTTGAAACTTAAAATGGAGCTATTACGATATATAACATCGTAACTTGTGACTTATAATAATTATGAGAGTGATTTAACCTTTTAACTCTATGCTTAGGATGAATATAATCTGGCTATTTTTGAGGGACATTTATGTACCGGATGTGATATGAAAAAATAGTACAATCAGTACTGTGGTGATTGTTGCTGAAATTTCTAGTAGCTGAATTATTTTGCAACCTTGTTATACATATTTCTTACTAATAAACTTTCCATTTTAATAAATATAATAGAGTATATCCTTGATGATACAACAACCTGAATACGGAAGTGAGGTTGGATACTGATTCAAAAATGGGCTTTATTCAACCAAAGATCAGCATAAATTTAACAAATAACCTCAGTTTCGTAGTAAATACGCAGTTTTCATTCTGCTTTCTAATCGATGAATTATGAAAGCTGATAACTTGTTTTTAGGAGCTTTTGCCCCCATTCAAATACTATTGAAAATAGATAGATGCATTCGTCAAGTTTTTCTAAATTTTATAGTCATTAATTCTCAAGATAATTGTGTGCAGAAAATGGAAGCTTCGGGTAATAACTCAGCTGATAGTACACTTGTCTTGTTCAATAAATCAAACTTCCTCTTCGGAGGATAACTTTTATCGCTCGTCTAGAATCAAGTTTTTAAAAAAACGAATAAACATTTGTCAGTGTAAATGCTCATTGAATATTTATTTGAATATTTTATTACTGAGATTCTAAGTCATTCTTACATTCAATTAATCTAGATACTACTACTCTTCAGCGACGAAGCAATGCAAAGAATTTGAATATGTTCCTGAATGTCATCTTCATGCACTTATTGCAAATCATCCAATTAGTTTAACCAGGAATGTATTTAAAGATCGAAACACTTGTGAACAACTGTGTACAAACAAACAAATTCAAGCAGATGCTGTTTGGAATCCGATTGTTAAAAGAGAAACAGAGAAATTACAGCACAAATGTGAACAGTCATTAATGAAAGGATCATTGTGTCAGTCGAATAAAATATCTTATAGCTGGTATTATGATAAACAATTTAATAGATGTATATCTTTTGAATATCTCGGTTGCTATGGAAATGAGAACAATTTTAGAACAGAAAAGGAATGTATCACGTAAGTAAATTGTAATTATGTTTGTAGAATCCTCATTATTCAAAATGAGTTAAAAAAAATAAAAAAGGTGAATTGAAATCGACTGAAAGATTTCAAGCATTTCAATTCCTAAAATCTTATCTCAATTATTTTATCGTATAAAGAGAAAAAATAGGGAGATTATTTTGATTTTTTGTTGAATGCTAATGCCGGCGTTTCACTTTTAACCACCTAAAATTAGACAATGTATATTATGTTCTATTCCAAAAACCGTTAAATTCAAAGGTACTAGAATATACTTTAAAAAATTCAAGCGTACCTTACAAAGCGGACATAAATTATCACTGCATAAACAACTTTTAATGTCCGTGATTCTATTAATGATCAGATTGAAATGATAAAAAACTGGTTTTACAAGAATCTTAGTGAACAAGAACACCAGTGGGAACAATCGAATATATTTGACACAAAATTACAAGACTTGTTAATAAAATCTAACAATCATAAAGTAAATGCTTGATTTGCAAAATGTTCATCAGTTGTCTCACAATGAGTCAGACTTCATTGTTCTTGCATTTTCATACAAATTGCGTCCTGTTTCCATTCTTTACTGTTCGATCCTCTTGTCTCTCTGTTGCCAGACATTCTGTTCATCATTAACATCATCTACTACTTATGTCAATATAAGTAGCACACACCACAGAATCACTTATGACTTGACAATTTCATATATGTTTTACTATTCAAAATTGTATCAATTTAATGAAGTTTAATTATTCGATTGGTAAAACTAAAATAAACTGATGACTTAGAGTGAACAAATCAGCTTAAACGTACTCTAAACGCTAAATTGCAACCTTAACAATCCTAAACCCAGCGTTACTCAGTAAAATATTACAAATAAACTATTGTTATTATTATGATTGACTTTTTAAAGGAATTAAAATAAAATAATCTTTTTAGTCGTTCCTTTTATTTCATTCTCATCCCCTTACTTTACTCATAATTCTCTGTTCAACGTATTCATATTTCAAATCTTTGTAAACACTATCAATTTAGAATGAAACATAATGGAATTCATAAAAGAATTAAGTGGAATGAATAAAATGTTTATTTTTTGAAAATTATTTCCTCTACCTAAGAGATTACTCGTATTGATTTTTTCGAATGTATAGCCCTCAGTTAAGTGACAAGCGTTGTCTTATATATATATATATATATATATATATATATATATATATATATATATATATATATATGCTAGTTAATGCATATCACCTAATTCCTTCAAGGATTTACTTGAATAAAACATTTGAAATAATCAACCAGAATGCCCTTATTTGTTCCATTAATGGGACATAATTTATATGATGATATTCATTTCAATACAAAAGTAAAATTGTATATCAATCAAATACATAATAGGAAATAACAAAGGAAATTAGAAAGAAAGATAACACAAAACAAATATAAAAAACATCAAATAACATAAATGAATTAATTGAATGGATTTCTATCTTATCATTAGTAAATTTTCAGTAATTATCATTTGGTTAATTCATGAAGGTAATAAAGGTAAAATTCACTAATTCACTTAGACAATAAATATGTTGATAAGCATTAACTCTTGATATAAACAAAAAAATATTTAGTTTTTGAACAAAAAGTCTAATGATAAAAGAGAATGAATCAACTGTTCCTAGGCTAGAATAAACAAGGTATAATAATAATAAACATGCATTTTGGTTTTATTGTATGGGATTCAATAATATTAAATCAGAAGGGGTTTCGTGGAAATTGTAGTAATTTTATTAGTTGAGATGATAAGTCAATTGAAGCTAGACCATCATGGAAAACCTCGGAACACAATAGAACGAAACGGCCATCCAATGCTTCCAGGTTTTTCATGGTGGTCTAGCTTCATTTGACTTATGATCTAAACTAATGAAATTACTACAATTTCCACAAAACCCCTTCTGATACTAATCAACATATGATCAGTAGTGACTGGCTTCAAGATGTGTACCCTAAAGTTCTAGTGAGAAACAATGACCAGTGGAGTTTAACCAAGTCAGTTGTAAGGTAGTAACTCACTGATGACAATGGTGGATGTGTCGCTCAATCTCATGGATTAGTTGAAGTTAGACATTAACACCATGGGATGCCGGCTCAGTGGTCTAGTGGTTAAGCGCTCGAGCATGAGACTGATAGACTCTTCGTGGATGCGTACTGCTGAGGAGTCCCACAATAGGACGGAACGGCCGTCCAGTGGTTCCAGGTTTTCCATGGTGGTCTAGCTTCAGTTAACTCCTGATCTTAACTAATGAAATATTAAATTAATTTACTTTAAATACAAAGTATGTCAATTAACCAGAACAATAACTCTAGTATATACAAGCCATATGATATAATGATAATTTTATTAATAGTATCGAGTGTTATTCGCGTATTTTTGAAGTAGTAACCAAAATGGTACAGATTTTTCTGTGGCATTTAAATATATATATATTTAATTACAGAAAAGTGTAGCAGTTTTTTGGCATGTTTAGATTGATACAAGGAAACAAAACATGTACACATTAACTGAAATGACGTTATTCATATACTGTTGCCATAGTATATAGTCACAAAGATTTTAACAACATAAAATGGCTGTCGAACACCAGTAAATCTTTAGATAGGAAGACTGAGACGCCATGTTTAAGGATGAATAATGTAGTGAAGGATGATTTCAACATCGTTACAGGGTACTTATAAACATTTACAATTAAAGAAAACAAAATAAAAAGAGAGTTCACGGAATAACAACAAGAATTACTGGGATAAGTCTGTTGTCATTAATGAACAGACCGACGAAAAATTCAAGTATTTAACTTCTGATAAATAAAACTCTGGGCAACTTATAATAAACTGAAATATAGAATTCCTATAACCTGGTATCAACAGTCCTTTTGACTACCTCCAACCATCTTCTTTTCTCAACATAACGCACGCAATGTCGTATCAACTAGAATAGTGGCCACATTGCAACTTGGTTGATAGGATTCGATGTACACTAAGGAGAACTTAACACACCTGAAAATGATCACCACCCAGTGATCAATCAATTGTCAACAGTATGATAATTTTAATATGAGACTGACGATTGTTTTTTTCGTCGTCAACTAGGCTTATTAAATGATATGATTAGACTTGATAAAGCATGTTTTCATAGTGATGAACATGATAACAAATAATTATCTAACCTGATAATTATTTCAAGCTGATAGTCACTACTGTTTGAAAGATTTACTAATATAAATTCATGTAAGGAAATTGTATACTTCTAAATTTGATTTCAGATATCATTATGGATCACTAATACTTTTCAAACTGATTTTTTTTATGCATTTTCAGTCAATGTGTCTACCGCGATAACACTACAAATGATTTAGATCAATTAAATTTGACAAACATTAATAATAAAACATCACTTTTAAATAATACTTATGATAAGTGGATTCAAATGCCTCAAGAATGTCGGTATACGCAATGGACAGATTGGTCGAGTTGCAGTACTACCTGTGGACAAGGAATTCAGACCCGTGTACGTGAACGAATTTCATCAAAATCAGACAACTGTCAGAAAATTTTACCGGAACTTAAACAACAAATGAACTGCTTACTTAAGGCTTGTTAACTAATAATCACAAACTGGTCATTTCTAAGTTTTTCCATTTTCCTTATACATATGTTAAAATATTTCTCAGTTATTCATTACTACTGACCGAGATATACTACTCAAGTAAAAACAAATTATAAATGAATACTTTTCAATGATGATATTTACATGGAGTTCATAGTTTCGTTTTAGTACATATACTGTGTTTATTTTTTTCTTTTCCAAATAACTTGTCACTTGTTGACGGTTGTTTACTATTTTAAAGTATAGAAGATTATCGATGTTAAATGTTTGCATTCCGTTGTTAATTATCTAGCATTTTACTCCAACTTTTTCTTTTTTCTCATCATTAAACAATTCGTTTTGTTCTTGTTATTATTGCTTGTATGGCTGCAATAATTAGTTTTGTTATCATTGTAAACTATGAAGTGAATGAATCCTTTAAAAAAGAAATGCAACTTTCAACGAATATTTAATAGATATTTTTCTTGTATGATTCAGTTATTGCTTTACACAGACTGAAGGTTTTATTATGCCTAGTATTTTATGAAAATTATTAGTTGACTTCTCAAACAAAGTTAGATGGTGAGTTGAGATACGGGTAAATCAGGTTGATGAATCCCAAGTGGAACGAAACGAGTTTATCTCATTCCAATGACAGCAACCATCCAACCCTGATTATGATGTTAATAACTTAACGGCAATAACGAGGCAATCCATACACACCATTCGTATAGACCAAAAGATACTGATCAATTGTGTTCCCAAGCATCAATGTGAAGATTCAAATAATCAATGTTAGAACAGCTGAGTACAAAGCAAGTTATTATTTGTAAATTTAAGCCATTAGAAAAATTTGATCTACCTGAATTCAACAAAAAATGTGTTTCTCACCTTAAACCATATGTGATTAAAATTATCTCATATGAATGTTGCAGACGGTAATCATGATTGTAATTTAGTAAACGTTAATCATTGTGTTCACTCCATAAGTGTCCCATAGATAAACATTATTATTTTAGTGAGAAGCCATTACCAGTGGAGTTCAACCAGGTCTCTTGTGAGCTATCAGCTCACTGAAGACAACGGTTTACGGTGGCGCAATTTGTGGATTGGCTAAGCGAGACTGAAAGATCCTGGGTTCGAATCTCACCAGGTGGGATCATGGATACGCACTGCTGCGGATTTCCATACTAGGGCGAAAAGGCCGTTCAGAACTTCCAGGTCTTCCATAGTGGTCTAGCTTCAATTGACTCGTGATTTCAACTATTGAAATTTCTAAAATCTTCACAAAACCCCTTCTAATATTATTATATTGTTTTAATTTTAATATATGATTATCTGACTATAAATGCGCCAAAGTTATCTTATGATAAATACAATTGAGTATGACATTTCACAATTTCATCTAAATTATCTACCGTTATTTTTCATTAGTATACTAACTAATAAAAATGAAAATAATCTAAGATGAATTTCCCATATGTGATACTTTATTCATTACCACTTGTTAATGACTTACATTTTGATTTCAAAATGAACAGTGTTTGAAGTATTTATCTTTTGGAATTCTTAAAAATCCAACAAAGAATAGGCTTAAATATAAGCGTTGACTGAATAAATTCATCTCAGTTTTTAGATAGTGCGTTATTTAGCATTACCATGTTGATTAAAAAAACTCACTATTACCTAGATACAAGTTTCAAGTATTGGTCATCATTTACAAATTGATTATTTTCATGAACCAGTTTAAAGAAATATTTTAATGGTTTATAGTAAGTTTGAAATCATGTTATGTTTCTGCATTTATTAGAAAACAGTTTAGTTAAGAATTAAAACCGTAAAATTAGATGATGACTGAAACATATCTGACGAGGGTTTTGTGGAGATTATGATAATTTAGTAGTTGAATTCATGAGTCGACTGAAGCTAGACCACTATGTAAAACTCGGAAGCACTAGACGGCCGTTTCGTCCTAACACGGGACTCCTCAGCAGCGTACATCCACTATAGGTCCTGGGTTTGAATCCCGCAAGGCGAGATCATGGAGTTGCACTGTTGTGGAGTCTCATACTAGGATGAAATGGCCGTCCATTGCTTCCAGGTTTTCCATGATAGTCTAGCTTCAATTGATTCATGAATTCAACTATCAAAGGTATCTGTTTGCTTAGATGAAAAGAAATTTACAAATGGGTGATAACTTATGCTTCTTGATTATCAAAAATCCTTTAATCCATGTCAATTTATGAGGAAACTTAATGAGTAGTTATCCATTTGTCACTGAACTATTTTTTTTCATCAAATGACATTACACTTGTCAGTCCTATAATGTAATAAGCACGAAATCTCATAAGAAAAGAAAATAGAACTAGATTTTTGTAAACAAAATGAGTAACAAAAAGTTGTCAACAGGAAACTAATTAATTTCATGTTTATTTATTAATTATTGCATAACAGTAAAATGACATTCATACTATACACTCCATTACTACCGTTCACGCAAATATAGCTCACATTTAGACGTTGATAACCAAAAAATCCAGTGAAGTGGTAACAAATTGACAAAACAACTTGTGAAAACATTTTATGAATATGACGTAAAATATCATAAAGAAAAATAAACACTTTTAGCAAATAAGAAATCGATAAATGAATGATCCCTAGATGAATATTGATTTTAAAACATTAAATTGGCAAACGATTTACGATATTATCATAAATTACATTTATCTGTATTACTCATCATTATTTAACTGAATGTTTACATGGATTTAATCAATACAGATACTTTTTTCACCATAATAATAGTTATTTGCTGCGTACCATAAACTGGATACACCATTGAACTTTGTTTCAATATCATGATGACATCATGGTTACTACATGGCCTGAAGGTTATGTCCATGATTTCGAAAGCGATACATTTTCAAACCTATGGATTCAAATCCGTAGGACGTTTTTTATTGCTCCTTTACTTTGATAAGAATACCTAACCTTAAACAAACTTTTCCGATGGTACACTTAGTTAATTTATTCATATTTTACTTACGAAAATATTTGGATATCATTTGTTTACTGAGAGAATGCTAAGGTACTTTTCGCAGTTGAGTCTTATATCGCATGTAAACATTCCAAGCAGGACTATGATTTTTTACATCTATTCAATGTCTCAGTATCCTAGTGTACCGATTGAAATTCCTCATAATACAAACCGTTCTGTAACCTGGTAATATTTAAATCGACAGCAATTTTAAAGTTTTGGTATAAGGTTGTGGAGATTGTTGACTTTTAATTGCGATCATGAATCGAACTTGGAACATTCGGTCTTGCGCAAGAAATGAAATTCAGCATCTTCGCAACCCCATTATGGAAATTAATATGTGCTCAATATTGAATATCTTCAAGAGGAAATTTCTGGAGTTTTAGGTTGAAGCCATGATTAGTGAAGTTCAGCCGTTCAAGTGTGCGGAAGTTACCTACTGATGAATATTAAAGTTGATCACTCAATCTCGTGGATTGGTTTAAGTTAGACATTACTACCGTTGGATGCCGGCTCAGTGGTTTAGCGATTAAGCATTCGTGCACGAAACCGAAAGACCTGTATGTCGAGTCCTGTTTGCAAGATCGTGGATGTACATTGTTGAGGGGTTCCATACTAGAACGAAACGACCGTCCAGTGCTTCCGGGCACCCAATAATAATCTAACATCGATCGATTCATGATCTCAAAGTTTTAAATTTATCTTATAAAAATCAACCTTGAACTTTTTATCACAACAAATACTACTCATTTTGAAATAATTGCTTGATTTCAGTAGTATAATCATCTCTTTTAACTTTTAGTTACTTGTTCTGTAAATATTCAATGAATTAACTAAATCCCTTCCTGCTAAATCAAAAAAAACAAATTTTAAAAGATTAAATATTTTTTTTCTCAAAGTATATTATACGAACCATTGATTTGGTCGAAACATAATATAAACACATTCATAGCCTTAATTAATAATCAAGCAAAGTAAACAATGAAGTGAAAATAAAAGTTTAAAGGAAAAGTGAAAAATATCAGAAAGAGAAAAAGTTTTTTGTATTTTTTCAAGCTAATTTAATCATGGAAACAATCACTTCCTCCTAGAGTATTGATCATAGTAATTAGGATGTTTTGATGGGATACAACTAAAAGTTTGATATCTGTTTATGAAGAAAACATTACGTCATTTATCATGTGATGTGTAATTGGATAAATACGTTGGTACTTAATAGAATACCAAAAATTACATGTAGATAGATATCTAAATTCAATTGGGGAAAAGAAAAACTTAATTTTCAAACTTTAAGTTGTAAATCAAGTTCATATATTAATTATAATCTTCATTATTCAATTGTTCTCATTTCGGTTCAACCAAGTTCATAATCATAGTCTAAAAAGAACGTTATGGTTGTCGAAATGGCTCTCCACTTTAGTGGCCCATTGATCTGACTCCTATTGGATCGTATGAACGTTTGTTATCACCTATCCTCGTATATAATCATCGACGTAAATCGCGTTAGTCAATCACGGAATTAAATAAGTCAAATAACGAGAATGGACTTTTGGATACATATATTTTGTATATCAAGCGAATGGAATAGAGAGAAGGGAAATGACGCAGAGTGGAGATGACTGGTAAGCCAACACCCCTTTAACCAAGCCTTAATCAATAGTTATAGTTACACAAAAGTAAGTTACAGACACGTGATGAGTAATGGGATAAGAAATGTACACACACCTACGCGCTCATATAGAAACAGTAAAGATTGATAAGCAAATAAATAACAAGGTCAGAATGTGACTCGAGTAGAATAAATAAAATGGGCAGTCCGAAAGCTAGAATATGGTATATAGGTTTAACATACTAACCGACACTGCACTATAATTATCATAATATTTACCATAGAAATAATGGTTATTTCTTAATATTTAATTATAATTCCATTAGGTGTCATCTCAGTAACAGTGTGATATACGTAACAATTAAATTCTTGCTATTTTTGACAATGAAATTAGTTCTAGTTTATAATTAATATGAAGGAACTTGAATATTCAAATAGTCTGATAATTACATCCAAACAAATGAAGTATTAGAGGAAGTATTTGATAAGTCTTCTAAATGAACATTATATCTGGTTTTCTACCCGTATCTAAAAGGCTCAGGCTAAATCTATATAAGAACATGAACGAAATAAAAAAAAAGAGCGAAATGCTAGAAAACGCTTTGTTCTAAGATTTGTTTATGTACTGAAAAACAATGGTATATAAAGGGTCACAGAAATCCTTGAGCTTTGAGGAGTTTCTAGAGCCAAATATATTAGCGGCATAGGTACAGATCAAATCAAATATTAGGCAAGTGACTCTTCTCATTGTAAATGTCTCTGGGTAGCTTCTACCCAACTCTAAATAAAGTGTTTCCTAGCGTTTTCTGGGCTTCTATGGACTGTTCTGAAGAAAACTGAGACT